TTTTTAAAGTAACTTGGTATAAAATAGTGGACTGTGAAAGCCAGTATAGAGTAATGATTAAACTGTTAGACTTGGAAGAGAGAACCTCAAGTTCAAATCTCTGCTTGATCATAGAATTTACCACATGGCTTTGGGTCATCACATCCTAAAAAGGTTGCTGTGGAGGTTGTTATTAGTAGGCAGAGAGGAACCATGAAAATAGACGCGTACCTTCTTAATACAGTAAGATTATAAAAATAAGAACAATACAGTTAGTATTTTGTCTGGCACAGACACTTTCAGCAGTATTGTTATCAGATCACTGTAAAAAAAAAATACTGCCCATTTTTTAAAATTGATGGCCAACTTCTACAGATTAGTGAAAATACAGCATGAAGCCCCTAAGAATGGCTACCATCTGATTCACAGGATAAAATGAAGAGCAAAGTAAGGACAAACAGAAGTAATCAAGTGGGAAGGAGAATTGGGTATCTCATCAGAGAGATATATGAAACCTTTTATTATAACTAGAAAGAAGTCCTAATTTAATTTAATTAATTTAATTTCTTTGACCTATTTGACTTTTCATTGCAATATATATCTATGCTAAGATATCTGCACTCTCACCTATGATTGTCTGCACTCTCTAATAGGTACTAGATTTTTTTTCTGCAAAAGATTAACACACCCATAAAAACTGAAACATACTTCTTTGAATAAGAAAAAAAAGCAACTGTCAATCCAACATGGTACTTTTACACTGTTCTTGTTCTTCCCTTTCCTCCTTTAGCACCATCCTTGATCTTTTCCACAGAAATTCTTTTGACATCCTCACCCTTGTAGATGCTGCTTTGTTTCCCTGTCAGAGTTTACACTCCAAAGACATTGTGGTGTTAATATGCAAAGGGACTAACAGAAAGAAAAGTTGGTAGCATGAACTTTCACAGACAAGCCTACTTCCTCAGATGCATATTTGCACTATTTGCACTGCAGAAGTAATGGTATTACTAGTAGATGCAGACATGTATGCCCATTTTGTTCCTGTTCTTTCTGTGGGAAACTGGTAATTATTGTACTGGAAGCTGACAGAAAATATTCTGGGATAAACAAAATGTGTATGGGTCTCCAAAATAATATTGGATATAACAGAAACAAAATCTGGAACTTTCTAGTCTTTTTAATCAGTCTGGATGGAAATCTATGCATGTTTTGTATTGTTTATCCCAGAATATTTTCTGTCAGCTCCCAGTTTGATCAGAGACTTTTATATCAACTCCCCAGGAAACGACTTGAAGACATGCAACAACAGCAACAAAAGCAGAAGCCTGCCTAAATAATGATAATAATTTTTATTTCTTACTCGCCTCTCCTCGCGGCTTGAGGCAGGTTACAACATAGTTAAAAACACAATCATTACATAAAATACACATATTAAAATACATCTCTACACAATATTTATATTAAAATACATAAAACAATGATTCAATGTACAATTCATGTTTATACCTTGAAGGCACCAGATCCTGCCTGATCTTGGCAGCTAAGTAGGATCAGCCCTGGTTAGTACTTGGATGAGAGATCACCCCAAAATACCAAGTACTGTTAAGCTATATTTTAGAGGAAGGAATCGGTAAACCACTCCTGAGTATTCCTTACCTAAGAAAATCCTGTGAAATTTATGGGGTCACCATAGTCACCAGGTGGCTTGAAGGTACACATAAACATAAAATAAAGAAGAACAGAAATAAATTATGGGACTTTTCAGTCAGTCTGGATGCACCCTAAGTAAGTGTTCTGGCTTGACTTCACACCTACTTTACCAGGCAGCAACTGTGTGAAGAGAAGAGGGTCCATTCTGATGGTGACTGGGGCATGGGCAGATGATGTTTCCATCACCCTCCATTAGCCAGAAGTAGGACTCTTTCACACTTCCTAGCCAGAGCCTTGCTGACTGGCAGGATCTAAGTGGAAATATCATCTCACTGTGCCCCAATCACCAGCAGAACGGGACCCCTTCTCTCCAAACATCTGTCCCTGGTAAAGTAGGGCCATCTATGAATGTATAACTCCAGGTTACACATCCATATGTCTGATCCAGAATTCTGGTCAATGTCATTTCCGATGGACTAACTGCACATTCATTTTGGGATTATAGTGTACTGTTTACACTGTTTATTTACATTTCTCATCTAAGTAAATGTGGGACTTCCTAATCAGTCTGGATGTGCCATAAGTACACTTATTTAACTAACTAATGGAGAATGCTGGCAATTATCTTTTCTTTATCATTATCTGACTCAATTTCCCCAAAATCTGAAGATGACATAAAGCATCTGTGTTAATAAGCATTTGTGTATCCTTTCATCTTGCCTTTTCCCAGCTCCTCCTTTTCTTGGAGTAGCATCATGAGGTGGCTGTTTCATGGAGCACTTTATTTTGCTTGCTTGGACTCACTTTGTGCCTCTGCCATGCTCCCATCTCTTGTTTTTTACACTCTGCTGCTGGATCTCCCATCACCCGCCTTCCTTCACTCACCTCGTATGCCACACTTCTCTCTCTTGTACTTGGTGCCACCTCATGCTTGCCTCTCTTGCTCCAGAGACCCTTCTGCTGCACCTCTCACCTCCCCCCCCCC